AATGTTAAGGAAGGTCAAGATACTCAGGCACCCAAAATATGACAGTAGGGGTGTCTCTGGGGTGCAGGGGTTAAAGACAGCGCTATCAAGCTATCTCCTGCCACTGCAGCACGAGTTCAATCCCTGCCCAGGGAGCTACTCACATGGTGCAGCAGACCCCTCCTGTATTGCCCACTGCTCCCCTCAGCAGTGTATTCAGTAGATCCGCCTCTTCTGTTCCCCACTCTCTTGTGAATCCTCTCCCCACCCCCAGCACCTCTGGCCTGCACCCCAGTTCTTGTATGCATAAATAAATGAATCTTTTAAAAAATTGCCTACATATGCTGTTAAGTTTTTGCCCATTCTACTACATGGAAACTGCTCTCATCAATGTCACTAGGAATTTTCAGATTACTAAATCCATGATCACTTTTCAATCCTCATTTGAGCTAGACTTCTCAGTGGCATTAGACCATGACACCACCCTGTGCTGGTTTTCACTCTAATTGCTCCTTCTAGTTCCTTTTCTTTCTATAGCTTTAAATGTTGACAGTCCTCAAGCCCTGGTTCTAGGCCCTCTACTTGGATTTCTCTATGGCAGGGAACATTACTGCACGCCATCTGGATCCATAAGCCGGTTTTCAATTTTTGTATGTTGAGGGAGGAGTCCAAAGCATGTCTCATGTAAATACCAGTATCCACAGAGTTGTACTGGATTATAGCCACAGCCATTCGTTTACTATCATCTACGGCTGCGTTCACATCACAAGAATAAAGCTGAGCAGCTGTGCCACAGACCCGACGCCCACAAAACCTAAAGTATTTACTTGCCCTTGACAAGAAAAATTTCCTTTGTGATCTCTCCCCGGATTCAGTTCATTCTGGTGGCTTTAACTATCACATAAACCAACAATGTTCAAAATAACATCTTTGGCGCATACACACAGTTCGAGTTCGGGGAGGATTCCTTTTACAAGGATGACCTGTCGTTTCCATTTACATGAGTCACGAAGATCGCAAACTAAACATGGACAGAACAGCTCCTAGCCTAGCCTAGACCATTTCTGTAAATGGTAATAAAATCCAGCCAATTGATCAAGCGAAGAATTTAGGCGTCCCTGACACACTTAAATCTCCCTAAACCTCACTAAATCCTTCAAAACAAATTCAAGTCACCGCTCGTTTCCAACTCTACTGCCCTCCACCCGCTCCCCACGCAAGCGCGCCCGCACGCGCTCCTCCTGGGCGGCTGCACGCGTCTTTCCTGAGACGACTCTTTCCAAGGCCGGCATAAACCAGTCGCTCCACCTGGTTCTGCCCAGAGCCCTCAACTTCTACCGAAAGCTGGCACCGCAGGAGCCCTCGCGGGACGCCTCCCTCCCAGCGGCTCCCCCAGGCTCCCCGAGCTCGCCGGAGCCTCCCAGCCCCGCTGACAGTCGGCGCGTTTGCAAAGACGTCAGAGCCTTTCGGCGGCGCCCGGAAGATACGTAAAGGGGGCAGGACTGTGTTTCACAAACCGGACCGTAACTCGCTGCGTTTCCTCTTTCCGGCCAGCGCCGAGCGATGGGTGAGTGTCGCTGTGTTCCCGGGCCGCAGTAGCGGGCTAAATTCAATCCGGTGCCATCCTGCCTCACGGCCGAGTGAGGGATGCGAGCGCCTCAGCGTGCGGCAGCCAGCAGCCACGAGGAGGGTGGTGATCTGGTTTTGGCCGCCGAGGTCCGCTCCAGGGAGGGCAGGGGCTTGGGGTTCGGCGGCACCAACGTGGCTGCCGCGGGAAGGGTCTCCGTGCTGGGCCGCACGTGTATGATGACACCTTGGTAATGCTGTGGACTCCCGATTGCAAGGTGGGGAATCCAACCTTGGAGAGCTGAGCGTGCGGCCCGCCCGACGCGGGCGTCTGACTAGCGAGGCTGCGGCCTCCGGCTCCAGAGACTCAAGCTCTGTCCCCCGCTCCCACATGCAGGCATCTCTCGGGACAACTGGCACAAACGCCGCAAGACCGGGGGCAAGAGAAAGCCCTACCACAAGAAGCGAAAGTATGAGTTGGGACGTCCAGCTGCCAACACTAAGGTGGGTGCTTGCGTTTGGGCCTTAACCTCCCGGAGGTCACCTCTGCACCGTGGTGCAGCCTCTGCGTGTGGCTGTTGAATCCACGTAGGAGTCTAGATCGTCCTAGGGGTGGGGAGGGCTCACCTTTGCGCATGGAGACATCTTATGCACTGGGTCTTAGAGTCTGGAGAGAGTGAGTGCCTCTCATCTTAAGAAACCTGGTGTTTTTGGTGCATGGAGACTTAGCGTTCAGTGTTTGGAAACGAGGTTATTTTTCCCCCTTGGAGGTAACTAGAATGATGAAAAAGTATCCTTAGGCGTGGCTGTGGCCGTCTTGGTCACCTATGTGCCACTTGCCAATGCTAGGACCTGTCATAGTTACACTGACTGTTACCTCCATACAGCCCAGTGCCCTTCCATTTCTTGTCTTGCTCCTTGATAACCTGTTTACTGTCTTGTTTTCTGCAGATTGGCGTTCGGCGCATACACACAGTTCGAGTTCGGGGAGGCAACAAGAAGTACCGAGCCTTGAGGCTGGATGTGGGGAACTTCTCTTGGGGCTCTGAGTGTGAGTGAGGCCCTCTGGGAATGGGTGGGAATTCTACACCGAAAACATTCTCAATTCCAGTAAGTGCTTTTAGTAGGACGTCCGTGGCCTCAACTAAGATAATTGAAGTTTCTCCTTGGTGACAGAAATTGCAGTTGCAGTAGCTGCAGAGAGCTCTGTCACCTGTCCTGTTCTTAGTTCCTGTAACCTCATGCATTGCGGCTGAGTCTAGATTATGTACATGTGGTTTCCAGCTACCTCTGGAAACATGGGGGAAGATGAGCTAATGCCCTGCAGTAAGTGCTCAGCCTTCCCTTTAGACCCCACTAGGGAGGGGACAGGAGACCTCAAGGCTAGTTGGCCCCTAATTTACATGACTTGATCCTATATTTCCCTTGTGAGCAGGTTGTACTCGCAAAACAAGGATTATTGATGTTGTCTACAATGCGTCCAACAACGAGCTGGTTCGCACCAAGACCCTGGTAAAGAACTGCATCGTGCTTATTGATAGCACACCATACCGGCAGTGGTATGAGTCCCACTATGCACTGCTCCTGGGTCGCAAGAAGGGAGCCAAGCTGGTACGTGTTTGGGGGTTCATCTTATGGGGGGAGGGAGCCGCTGACTCCTGCCTTCTTGTGATGAAAACTCTGTCCAGTTCTGCTACTGAAGGGAGAGAGATGAGAGCCTTAGTGCTGAGGAAGGCAGGGGTAGGGCTGGCCATGGTTCAAGAAGGCAATGGCATTTCTACCCTGGGCTAGGGTTTGGGACTGGAAGCCTTACATCTATTAATTTAATTCAGGCTCCTGAAGAGGAAGAGATCCTGAACAAAAAGCGATCCAAGAAAATTCAGAAGAAATATGATGAAAGGAAAAAGAATGCCAAAATCAGCAGTCTTTTGGAGGAACAGTTCCAGCAGGGCAAGCTTCTTGGTGAGATGGCTTCTGCTTTGTGGGGGGTGAGGGGTAGGGTATACACTTTGTATTTTACCTTCGTCTCAGTTCTTTTGATCATAGCTGTGTGGTCATCTGTGGGGTTTAATAATAAACACATAAGCACAAATCACAACATTTGAATAACTGGTGTGAAATGGAAATGGGAACTAATGGACGGGAGCCCAAAGGCTTTGAGAAGTCTTGCCCAGTCTGAGGGGGCTGTCTCAGTGATGAAAACTTTGTCCAGTTCTGCTACTGACTTCACGTGACGATAAAGTATGTCTGAGGAGACAGCGGGCTCATGTCGCCTGCCCCCCGGGATAGCTGGACCAACATTGACTTTTTAAAAAGGGGGTTGGTAGGTTGGGGTAGGGCAGCCTTATCATTTGCTAAGGGCCATATGCGTTCTCTCTTGCAGCATGCATCGCTTCAAGACCAGGCCAGTGTGGCCGAGCAGATGGCTATGTGCTGGAGGGCAAGGAGCTAGAGTTCTATCTGAGGAAAATCAAAGCCCGGAAAGGCAAATAAGTCCTCCTCCCTCCTCTCTTAGCTCCTGTAATAAAGGTCTTTGTTGTTCTTTGTTCTTTGTCTTTTGTTCCAATTGTCTGAATAATTGTTCTATTCCGGCCACCCATGTTGACCAAAACTGAGATGGTGGCTGGAACTAGAGCCCTGCCGCTGTCCTCACCCAGACTCTTCACAGTGTAGAGCCCTAACTGCAGGCTCAGGCTTATAATGCAGGCTCTGTCCTTTTTATAGTAGGGAGATGATGTCTCACCTCCAAAGTCTGGTTTTCAGTGGCATGCAAGCCAAGCAGGCTGAATCAGGTGTCCCAGCCCTTGGGGTGTGTTGTGTTCCAAATTTTTGCATCGTTGAGAGCAAGTTGAAGACATGACTACATCGGTATTGTAAGGGTTTTTATAGCTTTCTGAAGTTGACTAACCCTAACCCCTTTGCTGCACCCCTGTGCAGAAATACTCAGATTTATTTCCATCTCAAATTCCTTGCTAAAATCTGAGCTCTACGTAACCTGGGTCTTTTTTCTAGTGACTACCACTGTCCTGACCTGATTGATGTTAACTTGCTGTTCCCTCTATTGGGAGCACTTTCTTAAAATACTTAGTTCACTCCCTTCTGGTCTTTGTGATGTCACTCTTAGGTTTCTCCCTGATCACAGGATTTTAAATTGCACTTCACCATGCTTTTTCCCTTGTTCTTATTCCAGCATAAATACTGATCCCTGTTAGACTATAGCGCCAGGGATGTTGACTGCTGGCTCCAGTACCTGGGAAAGTATAAGGTAATATATGTGGCACTCAAATATGTGCTAAATGAGTTTAGAAAGGTTTTATCTATTTTAAAGTTGATGGACAGTAAAAGTAATGAATCTTAAATGCCAAAGTGTGAGTTCCTTGGTTTCAGCAAGTTGCCTACATTGAATACTCTTTCGTGCAGACAGTTGGGAAAAGATATCCTAAGAAACTCTTGGAGTGTTAAGGGCAAAAAAATTTCAACTTCAAGGGCCTCCCTGGTGGCGCAAAGGGTTAAAACACAACCTATGAAGCTATCAGCAGTCACTGCAGCACTAGTTCTATCTCCCAGCCAAGGAGGTGACCCACATAGCACAGCAGACCTCTCCTGCCTTGCCCCCTCAGCAGTGTATTTCAGTAGATCTGCCTGTTCTGTTACCTACTCTGTCTCTGGTGAATCCTCACCCCCCACACCACTGGCCTGTACCCCAGTTCTTGTATGCATAAATAACCTTTTTTAAAAAAAAATTCAGGGCTTCCCCGGTGGCGCAGTGGTTGAGTGCTGGGTTGCGAAGCTGCCCGCAGCCTCTGCAGCACTGGTTCGATCCCCGGCTACTCCCTGGCCACCAGAAGAGGGTCCCACATGGTGCGCAGACCTCTCCTGCCACCCACTGCCCCCCTTAGCAGTGTCTTCAGTCCTTCTGCCTGCTCTGCTTCCCGCTCTGGCTCTGAATTCTCTCACCCTCCCACCCTTCTAACTACCCAGTGCTTGTATAAATAAATAAATATTTTTTTTTAAAAAAGTCTTAAAAAAATATAAAAAAAATTTTCAACTTTAAAGCACTTTGGCTCTGCAGAGACCTGGTCTCTCTCTGCCTTTCCACTCAGTGATCTTCATCTTAGTACTTGTTACTGCTTACCGAGAGATTTGCACAGCAAAGCAATACTCAGCACTCCCTTTATTCTCTAGATTGAATGCTACAGGGATTGATCTTTATTCCTCTCCTTCACTTCCTCTAATCCATCAGTGGGTTCTTTTTTAAACGAATTAAGTCCATTTATTCAGTCTCCACAGATACACCTTTCTCCCCAGGGCCAAGGCTACCCTCTAAACCAGACAAAAAATGATTACCTTGTGAGTGAATTGTGGGTGATACTATGTCTACTTTGTAGTTTTGGATTCCAAGGCTTAAAAATATCCAGCAACCCATCCAGCTAAAATCCAGTTGAGTTGGCAATGCCAAAGGCTACATTCAGCTTCCGCCCTCATACTTTGGAGTTCTGGCATTTGTCAACCTTTGCCCATAGCATCCACTTGAGCTTTTACTTAAAAGGCAGGACTCTTCCAGGAGCTCACTTTAGCAACAATTCTAATCTAGGCCTCTGTGGGACCCTCCGCCCTTCCCCCAGCAGTGCAGGCACACCGTGGAACTGAAGCTTTCACTCTAATCTTCCTTTACCCCTGTTGGGAGCAGAGACGTGCTGAAGGTCACGGCTGGGTGGTGTATGATTGGTTTCACATCTTTTTTCTTTTTAAAGATTATTTATGCATACAAGAGCTGGGGTACACAGGCTAGAGGTGTGGGGGGGTGAAGGATTTAGCAGAGACAGTGGGGAACAGAACAGGCAGGTCTCCTGAAATACACTGCTGAGGGGAGCAGCAGTCAGGACAGGAGAGGTCTGCTGCGCCATGTGGGTAGCTCCCTGGCTGGGGATCGGACTCGGACTCTTGCTGCAGAGGCTGCAGACAGCCTCATAGGTTGTGTCTTAACACACCTGAAGCTTAATCAGCCTCCAGGGCAGATTCCCAAGCCCTTTCCTTCCCACTACTATGTATGACAACTCAATTTCAAACAACTGCAAATACACAATAAATGAATGGGTTCTTATTATAAACACAAAATTGAACAGTACTGATAAAGCAAAAATTCCCCCAGCAGACACTTTGATCCTTCTCCAGAGTAGGGTTATCAAGAGGTTATATCCTTCCAAACATCTCTATGTATCAAATTGCGGTCCGCACAACAGGGCTCTTCCTTAGAAATTAATAGAAACATAAAATCTTGAGCTTCATCTCAAATCTAATGAGTCAGAAACGAGGGGAGTGGTGTCAACACTGTTTTAAACAGTGCTCCCTCAGTTTGGCAACAGGCCTAGCTCCCCCCCAACGCCCCCCCACCCCAGGAAACAGCGCCCCAGAGCGCGGGTCCTCGGTATGCAGACGGGGTCGCCCTAGCTCCTCCCCTAGCAGTCGGGCCTACCTTCAACGTGGGCACACCCCCAGCCCGGTTCAGGCCCTTCCCGCCATCTTTCTCTTTCCAGATCCCGTCCCTAAACTCTCCGGATCGGCATCCAGGACTGCTGTGATGGCCCGGGAGGGCAGGGCCCGGGAAAGTGGGCTGTGGGCCGAGGGAGGCCGCGGGGGCTGGCGTGGCGGGGACATGAGGTCGGCCCGGCCCCGGCGGCCTCCGCTCACGGCTCCCCGGCCTCATCCTCTGACTCGGCAGCCTCCTCCTCGATGCGGTCCGCGGCCTCGGGGTCGCCGCCCTCCTCGACCCGAAAGCGCGGCAGATGAGGGGTCCGGGGGGCTCCTCGTGCACGGCCGAAGTTCCGGAGGCTGATGGCGGGAGAGGGCGCTCCTGCGCCCAGGAAACGACCGAGCAGCGGGGTCTGCGCTGGCCGAGCCAACCCAGGGGACGCCTCCACCTGCAGGCTCTGCTCAGGGTCGTCGGTCATGCTGCGGGCGGGAGGGAGTGTTAGGGGGAAAAGGCAGTCCCAAAGCTAATTCCATACAGGCTTTGTGGACTCCACCCCCACCCCAGTGTTAGGGGGAAAAGGCTGCCCCAAAGCAAATTCCATACAGGCTTTGTGGACTCCACCCCCACCCCAGGTCAAAGCCAAAGACACTGGGAACTCCAAATCCCATCACCACCAAAGGGAAGGTGGCTGGGACCTGAGGGTGGGGTTAAGCAGCCAGGTGGATACAAAAGGCAGACACGTGGGCTTTGGGGGCTCTCTCCATTTTGGGGCCCTCGGCCAGCTCGCGGCGTCCGTCTAGCTCTGAGAGTGACTTTGGGGTTTCCAGGTCGTCGGATCGGGTAGGACGCATTAAAGACTTTATTTCCCTATTTTCTCCCTGAGTTGTACATTTTCCTTATTTCTTTTTCTCTTGTAAATAAACCTTTTATTAACCCTTTTGCGTGTGTCTGTAGTAGAGTATTCATAAGTCCCTTTAAAGCGCGCGGGTGAGGACCCACAGCCAGGAACCCGTTTAATATCGGGGTTGCTCTATAACAGGAGGACGGGCTCAGCGAGCCTGGGCGCCTGGTAGGCTCGGGGTGGGGTGGGGGCGGAGGGGGGACGGAGACATGGGGACCAGGAGCCCAAGGGTCAAGTCCGGCCTCCGCCAGCACCCACCACTCACCGCAGGTTGAAGGTGGAGCCCAGGAAAGAAGGCCGCAGCGACTCGGCCACCGTGGCCACCGTATAGGGCGGCTGGGCTGCATCCTCATCCCAGTAGGCGTCCTTCTCAGCAGGAGGCAGGTTCTGGTACATGTCATCCACAGACAGCAGGGAGACCTGGGGCGGGCAGCTGGTCACCAGGACCCCCCTCTCCTACACTGGCTGAGGAGCTAGCAAGGAGGGGGAGGAAAAGGAGCTACCCTGGGGAGGGGTGTGGGGCATGTGCTGCTCACCTGCAAGTTGCGGTCTATAAGCTGGTTAGTCTCAAAGTCGTCGTCATCCTCGCCAAAGGGGTTGATGATTTGTTCAGCCACCTGAGGGTTGTAGAGAGTGTAATGGGCTGAGAGCCCCATTCTCTGCCCTCAAAGATGAGGTGGGCCCTGGACCCATACTTCTACTGAGTAGGCTGGCATGACCACCTGAAGTGCCCACCTTGAGCCAGCCAGCATAGAAGAAGAACTGCAGCAGGGTGGTGAGAGGCACATACATGTCCAGGTCCCCTAGGGCTGGTGCTGACTCCTGGTCTGGAAGAGACTCCTGAGGTTTGGCAGCCCCTGCCTCTGGCTCCACAAACTGGCGGCCAACCAGGGACAAGGCAAAGAAGGAGTACACTGCTATGGTCACCACCTGGAGAAGGGAAAGCGGGGCTGAATGGGACAGGGAGAAACGACATCCTTGCCTTGAGGACCAGCAGAAGAGTCTGATAGTAATTAAACTATGTAGTGGGGTCATCACCAGATGGGGTGAGGATCCAGGGAAGCTTAGCGCCTCAGCCCTTGCCTGTTCAAGGTCTCACGGGATTGAACTGCCTTGGGGCGGGCATTATCTCTAATTCTTCTTCTGGATCTCCCACTGGGATGGGGGGTGGGGCGAGGCATACTTGGGTGTAGACGAGGGGAATGCTGATCCAGTCATAGTGGAAAAGCATGCTGCACTTCGCCCGGTACTTGTTCAGCTCCTGGTGGAACAGCAGGAAGAGGAAGTCAGTGAATGTGAGGAAGGAGAAATGGGGAGAGAAAAGGGAAGCCCAGCTTAATAAAAGAGGGCTGGGATCTGGAGGCCCATTCTACTTTGAGGTGTTCACAGGCTGGGTGTGCAGAGGGGAAGCAGTTTAGCAATGTAGTTACAAGCAGATCCTGGAGCCAGAATGTCTGACTACCCATCCCAGTTCCACTAACAAGCCATGAGATTTGGGCATGTTTCCCACTTTGTTCTCAAGTTTCCTCATCTGTGAAAGGAGAGGATAATAGTACCTTTCTTCCTGGAGTGAGGGTTAAATGTGTTAATATAAGCACTGTGCTTCCCAGATGTGCAGTACATAGTTGGCACCACATAAATGTAAGGTGCCTGGGCCTCCCTGGTGGCGCAAGGGGTTAAGTCTCTGCACTATGAAGCTGTCAGCAGCTACTGCTGTCCCAGGTGGCACAGCAGCCCTCTCCTGACTCACCCACTGCTCCCCTCTGCAGTGTATTTCAGTAGATCCACCTGTTTTGCAACCCTCTGTCTCTGGTGAATCCTCTCAACCCCCCACACACACCTCTGGCCTACACCCCAGCTCTTGCATGCATAAACAAATAAATAAATATATTTTTTTAAAGATTTATTTATTTATTTATACAAGCACTGGGTACAGTCAGAAGCGCGGGAGGGTGAGAGAATTCACCAGAGCCAGAGCAGGGAGCAGAGCAGGCAGAGGGACCAAAGTACACTGCTGAGGGGAGCAGTGGGCGGCAGGGGAGGTCTGCACGCCATGTGGGACCCGCCTCCGGTGGCCGGGGAGCAGCCGGGGATCGAACCGGCGCTGCAGAGGCTGCGGGCAGCTTCGCAACCCAGCGCTCAACCGCTGCGCCACAGGGGAGGCCCAAATAAATACATATTTTTTAAAAAATAAATAAATGGGGCCTCCCCGGTGGCGCAGCGGTTGAGCGCTGGGTTGCGAAGCTGCCCGCAGCCTCTGCAGCGCCGGTTCGATCCCCGGCCACCGGGCGAGGGCCCCACATAGGGCGCAGACCTCTCCTGCTGCGCTCGCTGCTCCCCTCAGCAGTGTACTTCGTCAGTCTGCCTGTTCTGTTCCCGCTCTGGCTCTGGTGAATCCTCTCGCCCTCCCGCGGTTCTGACTGTACCCAGTGCTTGTGTGAATAAATAAATCTTTTTAAAAAAAACTTCCTTTAAAAAATATTAAATAGATAAATCAATAAATAAATAAATGAAAGGTGCTCAATTATTCCAGTGTGCAAAAGGGAGGGGAACACACCGGCCCCATGCTGCGCTGACTCACTTCCAGAAGCAGGCAGAGAGCGATGTCGTCACGGATTCGCCCGTCCCGCCGGGCCTGCGCCGCCAGGTTAGTGAACCAGACGCAGGGGACCCAGTATTTGTTGAAGTCGGATTTCAGGCTCTCAAACTTTTTCTTCTCTGCCTGGGACATGAAACCTGCGAGCGTTAAGCGGGTGGGGCGCAGTCACCCTCTGCTCACAGGACGCGCAGGCCGGGCCCTGGAGCGCCCCCTGGGGGTCAGACCTCTCCTCCCAGGAGGCTCGCTGGGCCGATGGATCTTGGCCAGGACCACCCGGGGCTCCCCAGCGTGGCACCACCCCTACCTGCGTCCACCACGTGCTCTATGGTGGGGAAGCGCTTGAGCACGCGGGTGCTGACCGAGCGCAGCACCAGCACCGAGGCCAGGTTGGCGTAGCGGATGAGGGTGCGGCGCAGCAGGCGGCCGCGCTCGTCCTCTCCGTGCACGCTGGCGGTGATGACACACATCAGCTGATCCGGCAGCGGGATGCTTGTGTACTGGGCCCACCAGCGGTTCACCACCAGAGTCACGTAGAAGCCTGGTTGCCACCACGGGTGGTGACGAAGGCGGAGGGAAAATAGAAAGCCCGGGAGTCAGCGCGCCCTGTGCCCCAACCAGAGCACCTGGTCCAGGCCAGTTTGCACCCCGGTGAGCAGACAACACTTCTGGCTACAGCTCCCTGCCTGAGGGACAGCCTCTCCCTCTGGCCCGCAGTGCTGTGCTCTCCAGGCGGGAAGGAAGAAATGCACACCTCCTGGGCAGAGGTGTTCAAGACCAGGTAATGGTTAGCTCTGAGGCCCTTTTCCCATGAGGGTAGAGGTGTCACCTCTTTCCAACTCCTTTCCAGAACCCAGAGGGTCGTGAGGCCAGCAGATGGCTTTCCCTTACTTGGAATGCGGGTCCATCCAGTACGAGCAACAAGGACCTAGGAATCCAGGCAACTTCCTTGCCTGCTGAGCCTGCTCTAACTGACTTCCAGGCCTTGCCGCGGTCATTCTGACCCGCAGAGCCATCAGCCTGGCAAAAGCCAGGCAAGATGCTGAGGAGACTACCAGGGAGAACTGGACAGAAGCTTACCTACCCAGTACAAAGGACAAGGGGATGAGCTCTGCCGAGCGGTTGCAGTATCGGGCCACCTGAGCATACACATGCTTCTGCTCCTGGGTCAGCAGCAGCCTGGGGAAGGTCAGGCATGGGCCTGGGTTAGAGGGAGGTGGCAGCCCAGTCCCCCACAGGCCCATCCGGAGACCTGCCCTCACGTCTCACCGGTAGGTGATGCTGAGCAGAGCATACAGGGCAATGAAGAGGAGGAACTCCTTATAGAGAAGCTTGTAGATGCTTCCCCTCCAGCGGAGAAGCAGACCAGAGAAGCCTCCGAAGCGGGCCTCTGCCACTTTGAGGGTGTATGAAACAGTCATGGTGCCGGAGTCCTGGGGCAGGAGGTCACAAGAGCTGTCCTCTCCCAACAAAGTTTCTCCTTTTCCTGCTTTGTCACCAAGCTTGTTACCCCAGGCCACCTCCCTTCAGCTCCACATGTGCGCATGTACACACACACACACACACACACACACACACAGCGCCATTACCCTGTGTTGGGGGGAGGAAGCCATAGAAGCTGCAGATATAATACACCCCCACTCCCCCCATGCACCCCCCAGAATGCAGTGATGCATGTATTGTGGAGAGGGGAGTGAGGCAAGGGAGAGAGGAGATCCAAGCTCTCTCTGCAGGAGGCTCCCCAGTGCCTCTTGCATTGCTGCTCCTGCCTGAACTACTGAGGACTGGAGAGCCAGTTCTCAGTGAGACCCACTACTAGCCCCTGGGGTCTTGCTTTTAAAGCTGACAGATGGCCTCCCAAGGCCCAGGATGTTCTCGCCCCCATTCTGTGCCTACCTACCTGCTTTGGGCAGCAGCCTGTGTTGAGGAAGAAGAACAGGGCTAGCCTTCACCCCCACATACATTTAAGTACCTCCTGGGCCCATAAAATGCAGCTAGATTGAGATTATCATTGATGGATTGAGGCTGTCACATAGTTTCCCCTGGTCCTGGGAACTGAATGTGTCTCCCTTCCCCTGTAGGGTTGGATGGACCTTTGAATGACAGAAGTGCCACTTGTCCTGACCCTGAAGTTCACACATATGAAACCATGTCCTTGAAGCCAGGATGGCAAGGATTACAGTCCCACACTCCGGGTGAGAAGACAGATGCATGATAAATTGTTATAATCATAAAAGCTGATGATCGCAGAGCACTGACTGACAGGCACTATGCCAAAGGCACTATATCATCCTTTCCTGGAGATCCTCATTACAACCCCAGGAGGTAGGAATTAACCCCATTTCACAGATGAGTCTCTGAATGACTTGTCCAAGGTCATAACACTAGGATATGTGGGAGGGGGACTCAAAGCCCAAGTTGATGGACTACAAAGTCTAAAGGTGGCCCAATAGGGCCTAAACTGGTTCTGGGGGACCTAGCCTGGTCCTCCCTGAACCCTTTTCATAGGCCTGGACTCTGTACTAGGAAAGCAGAGCCCCCTCAAGCCTGTGTCCAACATTCTGACTTCTAGGGGTGCTCAGGATCTTCAGTGGCCGGCCATTCCCACCTCTGGGCCTCAATTTTTTCATCTGTCTTATGTCAAAAAAAGAGGAAAGAGTGGGGCCTCCCTTGTGGCGCAAAGGATTAAGCACTGCACTATGAAGCAATCCGCAGACTCTGCAGCACGAGTTTGATCTCCGGCCAGCCAGGAGCAACCCACATGACACAGCAGACCTCTCCTGTCTCACCCACTGCTCCCCTCAGCAGTGTATTTCGGTCAGTCTGCCTGTTCTGTTCCCCACTCTGTCTCTGGTGAATCCTCTCACCCCCCACATCTCTGGCCTGTACCTCAGCTCTTGTATGCATAAATAAGTAAATCTTTAAAAAAAAAAAAAAAAAGAGGAAAGAATACTTGAGGTGCCAGCTCAATCATCTACCTGGGACTTAGGTACAAAAACCCAGGGGTGGTGGCCACATGTCTGATCTGTCTTGGGAAGCTCCTTCCCCACAATATGAGCTTGTTCTCACCTGCAAGAGTTTCCTAAAGAGAGGAAGCAGGCCTCCCTGGTGGCACAAGGGGTTAAGACTCAACCTATGAAGCTACTGGCAGACACTGCAGCACAAATTCGAACCCTGGCCAGGGAGCTACCCACATGGCGCAGCAGACCTCTTCTGTCTTACCCGCTGCTCCCCTCAGCATTGTATTTCAGTCGATCTGTCTGTTCTGTTCCCTGCTCTGTCTCTGATGAATCCTCTCACCCCCCACACACAAACCTCTGGCCTGTACCCCAGTTCTTGTATGCATAAAATAAAAATAAATCTAAAAAAAAAATAAAGAGAGGAAGCATGAAGAGGTGGTTAGCAGCAAAGTTTGGGTGTCAGACCAACCTGGGTTTGAAACCTAGCTCTTTGTAACCTTGCATATATGATCTAATCTCTCAGAACCTCAGTTTCCTCCTCTGCAAAACAGGATCAATTACACTTACCTCACAGGGCAATTGTGAACATTCAGGGGGGAGCAATGACTGGGGCCTAGAATACCGCAGGCATTTTGCCCGGCTGCTATTACCATAAACCAACTCTCTTTGGTTTCTACCTACCATCCACTGTGGCATCATAGAACCAGACAATCCCTTCAGAGAATCAGAGGCAAAGAACTTTCCCTTGATGCCCTGCCATTCTGTTCCCCAACCAAAGGGTGTCAATTCTGGGTTAGTTTTAATTTTGGTTTTGTTTTTAAAGATTTATTTATGCACAGAAGAACTGGGGTACAGGCCAGAAGTGTGGGGGGTGACAGAATCACCAGAGACAGAATGGGGAGCAAAACAGACAGATCTACTGAAATACACTGCTGAGGGGCACAGTGGACAAGACAGGAGAGGCCATGTGGGTCAGCTCCCTGACCCGGGATCAAACTCAGGCCTTAGCAGTCATAGCCCTGAGACTTAACCCCTAGGCAACCAGGGAGACTCACTAGTCCTGTTTTTTTTTTTTCTTTTAAGATTTATTTATTTATTTATACAAGCACTGGGTACATTCAGAAGCGTGGGAGGGTGAGAAAATTCACCAGAGCCAGAGAGGAGAACAGAACAGGCAGACTGATGAAATACACTGCTGAGGGGAGCAGCGGGCGGCAGGAGAGGTCTGCGCGCCACGTGGGACCCTCGCCGGTGGCCGGGGATCGAACTGGCGCTGCAGAGGCTGCAGGCAGCTTCGTAGCCCAGCGCTCAACCGCTGCACCACCGGGGAGGGCCTAGTCCTGGTTTTTAAGCTGGGTACATAGGCCCACCTTTGTCCCATCAACAGCCTCTGGCCTAGCTCCTTTTCACTTTTCTTCAAGGTCCACCTCAGACAACCCTCCAGGAAAACTGCCATGATCTCTCCCAGGTCACTCCTCAGAGCCCTCTAGGTTTTCTCCCATAGCAGTTAATTATACTGATCTAGGATCTGTCTACAGGGAGATCCCCTACCCAGCCCATGAGACCCTGAGGACAAGACTGGATCTGGTTCATCTTGGTAAAGCTGGGGAGGACATGAACCCAGGCAGGCTCTTCTTTATTTTTTTTAATTTTTATTTTTGTTCCTTTTAGTTTGAAAGATATTTGGTCCCCCTCTTCTCTTTTTGCGATGGATATCCCTCATGAGCAAGGTCCCTCGTGGCCTTAAGAGTTATGTTCTCCTTCCAGGGCCTAAGTGAGGTGTCAGTGTGAGGATAGTACAGGAGTGTGTGTGTGTGTGTGTGTGTGTGTGTGTGTGTGTGTACACATCCCTGGAAGATGTAGGATCTGACCTGGGAGGGTGACATCAGCTAATATGGCTGTGCAGCCCCTTCCTAAACTCTGATCTATGATATTCCTAGAATATTCTGGACTGCTTAGCACTGAAAGAAGTTAGGGAAAGAGACTTCAGTTCAAGCTCCTGGGAGTGTCTCTTCAACAGCTCTTCTTAGGAACAAACCAGCTGGTTATACCTCAACCCTCCACTCCCATCCCCATCTGTGGCCCTCACGCTTCTGCCTGTTACCAACACTCTGGATCACTGGGCTGTGAATTTCCCACAGAGCCAGGGATGAAGATATAGGACCTGACACCTCTACCCCAGGAAGGGAGGGTCCCCAGTCCCACCCAGCTCCTCCCTCCTGAGTTACATTATCTCCCCTCCCAGCTACTGACAGGTCCCTTTGGTTTATGGTCCAGCAGAGGGAACCACTCTCTAGCCCTTGTAAATCATCTACCCCACCCTTTGTTATCTCCTCTGTCTCTTGCAGCTCCCTCTCTTCTGGTCCTAACCCCAATGCCCCTCTCCCCTTCTCACAGCCTAGAACTAGGTGTTTAGCATGGCAGTTTGTAGCATGTGGTCTGGAGACAGATTTTCAAATTGGACACCACCAGGCACTACTACCTTAGTGACAACGCTGACTGTGAGCAAGTCACTTAACCTCTCTGTGCTTAGTTTCCCCATGGAAGTGGGAATGTTCATACCTAGCTCAGAGAGCTGTGAAAAGTAAATGAATTTGTATTTCTTTTTTTTTTTTTTAAAGATTTAGTTATGCATACAAGAGATGGGGTACAGGCCAAAGGTGCTGGGGGTGAGAGGATTCATCAGAGACAGAGTGGGGAACAGAACAGGCAGACTGACTGAAATACACTGCTGAGGGGAGCAGCGGGCGAGACAGGAGAGGTCTGCTGCGTCATGTGGGCCACCTCCCTGGCCAGGGACCAAACTCACGCTGCGGTGGCTACAGACAGCTTCATAGTGCTGCAGTTTAACCCCTTGTGCCACCAGGAAGATCCCTGAATTTGTATTTCTAACCTCCAGAACTGTGAGAAAAGAAATTTCTGTTGTTTAAACTGTCCAGTCTATGGTATTTTGTGATGGCCAATTTAACCACAAAGACATTTTGCTTTATTTTCCAAATGTAAAATTGTTTTATCAAATATGACTTTCGAACCTCTACATGCTTCAGCCCCATTTCCCCTGTGAATTTATCCTTCTGGCCCCACCACTATCATATCTCCTAGAAAACTGTTGACCTGTACAGATAAAGACCAGACTCTGAGTATGACATAAGGCCTTCCTGCCCACCCTCCTCCCTGTCATTCATCTGAGCTACTGATATTTCTCCACATCTCAGGCCGTTTTGGTTGCTCCTTCAGCCCAGGAAGGACAAACATGGAGAAGCAGGCCCTGTGGGCCTGATAAGGGATGGGCGAGAACACCATGCGGAGGAGGACAATGGAGGGGGCAGGAAAACGAGGAATAACCGTAACCAGAGAGACTGTCTCCCAGACAGAGGTGTGTGGGAAAGATGGAGTGAAGTGGATAGACTTCAGAGATATTTGGGAGATAAAACTGATTGGGCATTTGATAAATATTTGTTGACTTTCTGGCTACTCTTTCTAAAGTGGGCTCTTCGGCTA